TGATCTCTTTTAGCTCGGCTAATTTTATTGAAGCCCATGTCTGTCCAGTAGATGGTATCATTTTCTACAGATAAGACACAGAAAAAAAAATGCTATAAAAGGTATACTATGTATTAGGGTAATACTGCATAGTAATTTTTTGGTTATCATCCTGAGTGTGCTAGAGTATATATAATCTTCAGGATAATTTACTGATATGTATAAACAGTAAAAAAGGTATTAAAATAATATGGAAGAATATTTTAGTCAAATAATTTTTAAAGCATTTTTTTAAATACTTATGGAAATTATCTAATTCTTTATTATTTTTTATTCATTCCTACTCATTTTAACTCATAAATCTTTATTTCCATGAATTTCCAACCTTGATATCAAAACACGTTATTCTGGATGACTATTATTCTCTTCACTACTATACTTGTCTTACTCCTCTAAAGTAAAAAGAATGCTACTGGGAATAATCAACTCAAAAAAGTTTCAAGGTAGTGAGATGATGGAAAGAAACATAACATTTCAACTGTATCAAGTTTGTTTAAGCATACGGTCATGCAAAGTATAGAAAGCCTTAAAAATGCCTTATCATCCAATTATTCTTTCTTAGTAACTAGTTCCCAAATATCAACTACAAGCCCTTTAAATTATTTTTCAAACTTTCATTTTACAAATGTGCACAAGAATACTTGAAGGATTGCTCCATGCAATCATAAAGTGTTTAAATAAATAATCCTTTTTGAATATCTGAATGAAAAATGTGTCTAAAGATTATAAATGAAATGTATGTGCATGCATATGCATAAAGGGTAGTAATTATAGAGCAAAGATTTTTAAATACAGCCACCAGAGAGATACTGGGGACAAATCATGAAATAATAAATTTGCTACAAACTAAGTAAGTTTTTGTGTCGTGACCTAATGGCCATTTGAAGAACAAACCCTTTAAGATGAATATAATTTCTCTCTGGCACAGTGACAGACTATGGAAATAAAGAATATGTAATTAGTATAATAAAGCTATTTATCAGTAAGTTTTGAGATTCTGTTTCAAATGAAAGATAGTCTTCATTCACCCATTTGCAGAAGAAATCCAAATAACCCCTGTTTTCAACAATGGCTGAGATGAATACATGATTTTTTGAAGTGAAACAGAGATACCCTATTCAAATATACATCTGGAAAACAAGAACTTACTTGATTTTCCAATTCTGTAAGAGTATCAGTTAACATGTATATTGAAGTAGGCAATCGATCAACAAATATCAGAATTATTTTTGCATAAATATTAAGCACTGTCACTGATTGTACCTTTATGTCCAACTGTCTATTTTGTTTCTCTACTTGCATGTAGAAAAGCCAACCTTGATATACAAATGACAAATTCTTATTTTCTACCAGTAATATGCTCTCCTTGCAATTTTCCCCATGACAAGTCTTTTTGCCAAGGTAGTATGACAATGGCACCTCCATCCTCTATTTCTTGCACTAAAAACTTCAAAACTGTCCTTGTGATCCTTTTACTCATATTCCACATCCTATCCTTCATCACTCTCTTAGTTAAGACAGTACCAAGATTTTAGGTGGGTTTTTTTGGGGGCAGGGGGTTCTTTTCTTTTTCTTCCTTCAAAACGTGTCCATTTTTCTTTCTTTTTTTTTTTTTTTTTTTTTAGACAGAGCCTCAAGCTGGGCCCCTGGGTAGAGTGCCGTGGCATAGCTCAGAGCAACCTCCAACTCCTGGGCTCAAGTGAGTCTCCTGCCTCTGCCACCCAAGTTGCTGGGACCACAGGCACCCGCCACAATGCCTGACTATTTTTTTGTTGTTGTTGCAGCCATCATTGTCGTTTGGTGGGCCTAGGCTGGATTTGAACCCGCCACCTTAGGTGTATATGGCTGGCGCCTTAGCCACCTGAGCCACAGGCGCCAAGCCAACATGTCCATTTTTCAACCACATTTCACACCCTGCACTACTTATATCAAAACCCAAACCACCATTCACTCTTGCCTGAAGTCCTGCAATAGCCTTCTGGCTGGTTGTCTAGTATTATCTTCTATTTTTACCACTGGACTTCCCTTTCCACATTATTCCTTTTTCCAAGAGAAGAAACATGTAGCTACAGTTACACTTTTAAAAAGTAAGAAAGATCATTTCTGGCACTATCTACACAAACTCTCTAATCACTTCATATTTCATCCAGTATAAAATTAAAGTTTACTCTCACGACTTTCATGATCTATGCCCATCTTCCACTCCCTGATATCCTTCCACTCTTTCCCTTACTCATCCATATGTAGTAGTACAGACTTTCATGTTCCTAAAACAAACCAAATACTCTTTAGACTGAGATTCACTTCTTTTTTTCTGTATGGAATTTCCCTCTCTCCCTAAGCTCCATATTAGCTCAAATATCCCCTTCTTACTGAAACTTTTCTGTATGTTCTATGAAAAGTATTCCCTTATCATGCTCTATTCCTCCTTTCCAAAACTGATGCACTCTCAAACACAATATGTATTTATTGGTTTATTTGTTTAGTGTCTCTTTTGTCTCACAGGAATTCAATTTATTCCTAAGGCTTTGAATCTAAAGCTTCCTCAACTGTTGTTGATCCCTATGTCTCTTTCGTATCTTACTAATTCAACTTTGAGTACAGTTTAACAGGCCGTAAATTATGAATATTCTCTTATCATGTAGTTAGCAATTGGTTAAACATGCTTCTCCTTTTCTGGCTGATAGTGTTTACCATGCCAGATAAGGGACAAATGACTGGCTTCAACTAAACAATAACTTTAGAATATGCTATAATTAAAAAGTAAAGGGAAGCTTATTATTTAAGCTTTCTCCCCAGTGACCAGAATTTTCTTTTCTTCAGAGGTGCTGAAAGGGTTTGAGAGATAAAAATCCTAGGTTACCACCTTTTTGATGGATCTTTTATGGATACAGTAGAAGCTCCATAGTTGACCCCCTCCCTAAATGGACCACCTCAAGATGACCTCATTTTAATAGACCAGACATGCACTACATGTACACATCAGCACATTGGGCTAGGTTCTTATTTTGACTACTTCCATTTGTTGACTAGTTTGTTACAGTTCCTTAGGTGGTCAACTTACAGAAGCTCTATTATATTGTAATATATGTATAAAAGATCTCTATCTTAAAGTATTTTTCACACATTGTAAAGATATGGTCCTTTGGTTATTTGACATTCTGGGAAGAAAAATAAATATATCATACAACCACAATTTTGCCAAAGTAATTATATTCAACCTCAACTCTGGGAATATAAAAATATCACAAACATCTCTTGTACCTCTTATTATTCAAACAATAGCAAATACTATGTGGATAAGATAGAAGTTGTAAACATGGAAGGAGTCTGAGAATTACTGACTACTAGATTAAAAAACTGTATGAAAATGAGTAAAAAAAAAAGAAGGGAGAGATGAAGGAAGAAAGTGAAAGGAAGGAAGAGAGGAAGGGACAAAGGACGGAATCACATTTATCCATTTTTATCATTGGCATAGTCAGACCCACATGCTAACATGATTTAACAGGGAATGTTAGAAATATGAGAAAAGTTAAGACAACTGAGGAGCTAAAAAAGCAACTTTTACTAAAATTATGTAACTGGTGCTTGAGGGAAGATCTTCTATTGTATCTTTTTGATATATGGCTGATAATTTAAAACCAGTTTTATATGCACCAAGTTTTAAAGTGTCTGTATTCTGTATCCAGCACTATCTTTGAGAAGGACTATTGAACAGCAAAAAAAATTATTAGTATGTTTGATATGGCTACAAATAACAGAAGTTATCCCACAATTTATTAAAGAGAGACATTTTCACTAACTTCCTTTATATTTGAAAACAAAAAACCAAAATAACAAAAACTTCTGATATAAACAAATCCTAATGGAAGAATCTGAGTTTGGTCATTAGATCTGGTATGGAGAGCTGAATATTATTATGTATAGTTCCTAAATTAATAAATTGATGAATGAGGTTACAGAAGGTAAAAGTCTGGTTGATATTTGGAAGACATACTTTCCCCAAGTTTATTAACTAAAGAAATTTTGTAAACAATAGGAGTCTTTAAAATTAGGTTGGGTAGTTTCTCAGAGTTTGCATATACTCATTAAGAAATTCAAGTTAGACAAACAACTCAAAGCATTATTTAAGGACAGCTCCAATTTGTGAGCATTAAAATTTACAAGTTTGTTTAGCTTAACTCATCAGCCCAATATTTTTTCCCATCCTGCTGGATCCATTATTCTCTATATTATGTTTTAAAAATGAAACCAACCACGCTCAGTTCCCAAACTATATGTTACTGTGTGAGAAATTCTGTTTCAATTTCTCAATAAACCTCAGGCTTAGGTTCTATAGAATGATTTTATTTGTGGCTGTTGTCAATTAATATCATCTCTTTAATATCATCTTTTTAATATTATCTTTTCTCATTAGACAAAGCTATAAGAATGTTGTTCTTTTTGGTCTTTAACTTCTGTTATTATAGAGGGGGGAAAAAAGCTTATGGCAGAATAGAGTCAATATAAATGCACAGTACTGATGCTTATACAGAACCTACACCTTAGCTTTATTTGGATCAGAGAAAATAACATCCCTCGCCCCACCAAGCCCTAGCCCTCAATTTTTACTTAGACTTTAATTATGTACTATCACTTTCAGATAATCTGGTTGCATATTTGTTTCCACATTTGAGGTCAAATATGTAAGCATTGTACACAGCTTTTATTGATATTTATCAGCAATGACTTTAAAAAGTAGGCCCCAAAATGAAATTTTTGCCACATTTATAAATATCACCTTAAGGACAAACAATTCATTAATTCCTCTACCTTATCTAATATAATGATTTCTAACCGGCTTTTCATTCCAAAATTTTTATAAATATGATAGTTCACTATAAGCCAAACTCATATCTTGTACCTTTTCAAAAATCACCCTTTTAATATGTTTTTGGAAAGAGGAAGCTTTCACATATCAGTGCTACATTTGTCTTTCCTTCTTTTCTTGCTCTGTTCCTCAGGATAAAACACAGTGGCATCATC